TGTTAGATCGGCAACTCTCGGTGTCTGCGAGTTCATTTTTCCCAGGATGCACGGATGGCAGTTTGCGGCGCGGCTGCAGGAGCGGTTGTCACTGTACTGGTGGGCCTGCGATCGGAGAGGCCTGGTCGTGGCGAGTGGCGTGTTCGCGTTTCTATCACGGAGAATATTTCGCCGAAAGGTGATGTGCCGAAGTTTTCATTCTATGTCGTTTTCCATGGATGACATTCGGCTTTAGTGATCGATTATATTATTTTTCTCAGTGTGTGATTGTAGTTACATGCGTTGTGAAATGTTTTACATGTGTTTTTCAGAGCTTCCATTTGGTGGATGCACCCTCAGTAACACAGATTGAATCTATCTGCCCGGAAGTTTCGGTATGCATTTAAAATTTATATGATTATATGCATAATAATCATTGGAATGATTATTGAATTATGATCATGTCAAACTGGCATGTATTAGGTCAGTCAAGGAAAATTTAATTGTGTCCTTTATACAGAGATGTTGATTCGATGGAGCTGGATTCGCAAATATTATCTGTTGTATGTTATAGACAAACGTTTTTTTTATATATAGATATCATACTGTGTGATAGTTGTGTGGTGATGTTTCCCTTGCTGTCGACGTCAACATATTGTCTCGTTTTGTCTGAATAGTGGGTATTTAGATGCTTGTGCACTCAACGAGGAAATAATGTTGATTACGAATTTCGTTGGACGGAATTTAAATCCTACTAAATTCGCCGTACGATTTCACCTGTCCTATGTAGTGAGTATTATTGTATGGTTTGAGAATGTGGACCATGCATCGACTTCGAAGTTCGTCAACTGTGCCAGTGGCGATTGCAGTTTTATGTTGGTGGTCCAGGGTGGCGCTGGAGGCCCGGCCGGCGGGGGGGCCGGCGGCGAGAGGGCCGATGGAGGTGCTTGGGATAGATTTCACAAGTTTTACATACTCGGTTAGGAAGTGACATCGAACCTGGAAATTGGGAACAGCATCGATAATAGTGGCGAGCAATATGCAACGCTTACGGTAAGCTCTCGAGGTTAGGACACTACCATTTTAGTTCATTAGTCCACAGGACTAGTAAAGAAAAAATTATAGTCTTCAGATTCTATAGTTTGCGTAGAACTATTACTAGGGCGCAGAGCGGATGAATTGTGATTTGCCCGGAGGTTGGGGTGGGTGTTAGAGGGTGAGCTCACTTCTGCTAGGGTACAGGGGGTCTCTCCAGGGTAAAGGGTTGTCCCAGAAAGGTTTTGTAAAAGGACCTTCAATGTATAAATACATGTAATTTTGATATGGATCATAAAATTTATTTTAATTAAATTAAATTTTTAATTCGACAATAAAATTTCGGCTTCTGTGATGAGGAATTCTGTGATCATCACTTTACAGTAAGGAATTTGGCCTATTATTAGCTACAAACTGTTCCGGCGCTTGTATCAGCTATAGCTTTCCAATGGGGCGTGCGCCATTTACTAATTCGCTGGATAGATGGATCGCGCTGTGCACTATCGGTGTATCACTGCTTAACAATGGCGTCTAGTTCGAAGGGAGAAACCATAAATTAATTGAAATCGAGTTGCAAGTAGAGGTGCAAAGACATCTGGAAGGAAAGCTGAATCTGACAGCGTCACGTTACGTTGGTCGTGCGTGGTGACACGTACAGTTAGGGTGCGTGGTGCGTGCGCAGTATAACGCGTGTGCACGTCACCGTGCGGTCGTGTGCACGTGCGTTAGTGGGCACTACACGTGTGTGCAGTGCGGTGGGCAGTACACGTGCTGTGCGTGCATAGCAGTACGACGTGCGGTGGCCACGTACAAGTGTGTGCGTGCGTGAGTCGTGCCGTACACGATGCTGGGTGCATAGACGTACATGTTGCGTGTTGTGTGTGCCTGCCGTGGCATGTGAGTACACGTGGGGCGTGCGTGGTTGTACCGTGACGTGTGAGGTACCGTGTGCGTGCGTGTGCATGTACCGTGACGGTGCGTACGTAAGCACGTACATGTGGCAGACTGTGCTGTGGATGGTGTGCACGGTACACGTGTCATGCTGGGCGTGCGTGTGCAGTACTATGTGTGTGGCGTTGGATGCGTGGTGCACTAACTTGCGTGGTGGGCACGCTACACGTGTGGCGTGCGTAGTAGGGGGGCGTGTGACGTGGTGAGTGCGTCGCGTGCGCACGTGACACGTGGTGTTGAATGCGTGTGCACGTACACGTGCCGTGGTGCTAGGCCACGTACACGTGTGTGCGTTGCGTTGTGCACGTTACCATGTGTGCCGTGCATGGCACGTACTGTGCGTGTGTGTGCATTGTTCGTTTCGTGCCGTGCTGCAGTACACGTGCTGGCGCGTGCTACACGTGTGGGCGTGCTGTGCGTGCGTTATGCACGTACGATGTGCATTAGTGCATGTGGTGTGTGTACGTGCGTGTGCAGGTACACGCAGCCTGCTGGTGTGCATGTAACGTACGTGCGTAACGTCAGAACGTAATGTGTGTGCGTGGCATGCGTTCCGTGCACGTACACGTGCTGTGGTATGGTGTGCACGTAACATGTGCGCGCGTTGCAGTACACGTGCGTGCGTGGACACGTACACGTGTGTGCGTGGTGGTGCGCACGTACACGTGTGTGGTTGGATGCGTGTGCACGTCAACGTTGCGCGCGTGCATGTACACGTGCGTGCGTGACAGATACCAGTGTTGTGCGTTGCAGTGCGTGTGCACGTTACATGGTGTGCGTGGATGCGTGTGAACGTAACTGTGCGTGCCGTGGGCACGTCACACTGAGTGCTGCTGGTGCGTGCGTGCGTGCCGTCCGTGCATGTGCGTGTGCACGTAACACGTGGTGCGTGCCGTGTTGCACGTGCGCTGGTGCGTGAGGCGTGTGCATTTCTCACCTCTTTGAATCGTTCAACCATTTTCATCTCAGATTGGGCTCATTAGCCCCTCACTGTTTCGTGAACAGGCATTGATGCTTCTTATTCATATACACGCTGGCCATGCTAATTTCTCCTGCCTGCCGAGTGTTACGTTTGGGAGGTGCGAGGTGGCGAGCCTGTCCAAATACTTTCACTAACTACCTTTGATGTAGTATAATTATTATAACATTGGATAAGGATGTACTAATTAGCCTTCACTTACTATTTGTATGGGATGGCTTCAGATAGCACACGCTGCGATGTGCGTTGCCGATTGTAAATACGAGAGTATAACTGATTAGTTGCGTCATTTCTACAATCAGACCGTTTGTTCTAATGTCAACGCTACTGTCAAAGCGATCGATTGTAGGACTGGGTTGTCGGCCATTTGTTTAACAATGTTATATGCTTTTTTTTTTTTTTCTTTCCGTAGGGTCTGAGCATGCTTAGGGCGTGCAGGCGTGTTGCTAGCGTTACTATGTACTAGGTGTTCAGAACAAGGAAACTTGTTTAATGCGGAATGAGTTATTATATAGTCTTTTGTCTTGGTTGAGGACTCTGCCGCTGGTAAACGATGGGAAATTTAGGACGGTGAGGGACGGGAATATATGAGTCCGCGGACTAACTAGCTATTGGCGAATACTACTAGTCCTTCTGATTTTTTATATCTCGGATAACGATAAGGTTAGTGTCGAAACCCTGCTCTTCATAGAAGGCAGAAACAAGGGCGGTGGACAGTGTGGGAGCAAAATATGAAATCGATTTACAACGTTTTTAAGTTATGCGCTGAATTGAGATTGCAATCTTGAAATTGACTGTTTAGCTGTTTTGGAAAGTACATATGGAAACATGGCCAGTCCTTGATTTCTGATATTTAGATTTTACACTTTATAATCTATAGTTAAAATCATTAAAGAAGTAACCTGTCTGAATCAAAGGCGTTACTTGTCCGGGACAGGGGGATCAGCTGCTATTTCCAATACATGTGTGTACAACAAGGTGTTGCTTATAATCAGGTAGACAAATAACAACAGCTTGCCATACAAGGTAAACAAATAACACCAGGTACCACAACAGGTGAACAAATAATTGAACAGCTTTGCCACAACAGGCAACAAATAACAACAGCTGCCACAACAGGTAACAAATAACAACAAGTAACACAAATAACAACAGGTGTGTTGTTATCCAGGTGTTCTATGTTTTTGACAGGTGAATCGTGAGCAGCTGTTTGTGAGGAACGTATTCTCGCCGTATGAAGTCGGCCAGCACTTCCAGTTCAGGGTGAGGGTGATGACGCAGAAGAAGGGCAAGCCATCGGAACCCGCTGAGATCACGATCGAATGTCCTCGTGAGTGTGACGCCACGTAGCGATGTGTGGGTTAGGGGTTAGGGTTAGGGTTAGCATGAGGGTTAGTGTTAGGGTTGTGGTTAGGTTTAGGGTAAAGGTTGAGTTTAGGATTAGCGTTAGGGTTAGAGTTAGATTTAGGGTTAGGGTTAGGTTTAGGGTCAGCGTTAGGGTTAGGTTTAGGGTCAGCGTTAGAGTTAAGGTTAGGGTTAGGTTTAGGGTCAACTTTAGGGTTATTAGAGTTACATTTAGGGTCAGCATTAGTTAGGATTAGGTTTAGGGTTAGAGTTAGGTTTAGGGTCAGCGTTATGCTTATGGTTAGATTTAGGGTCAGTGTTAGGGTTAGGGTCAGCATTAGAGTTACAATTAGCTTTAGGTTCATTATTAGGGTTAGGTTTAGGATCAGCATTAGGGTTGGGGTTAGTATGTGTAATTATAGGTGTGTACACATGTGTTTGTGTGTGTATAAGGGTGCAGGCGTATGTGCGTGCGTGCGTGCGTGCAAGTATGTGTAGTATGTGTGTTCATGCCTGCATGTGTTTGTGTGTGTAAGGGTGCGCAATTGTGTCTGTTTGCATGCGCAATCTATCGTTCATCTCACGATCTTTCTGTCTATCTCTCTTAGCTCCGAGTAAACCGTTGTCGAGACCGGACGTAGGAGCCGAGGCGAAGGGAGAGAACGTGACAAGGCTAAGCGTTTCCTGGCAGGTAAGAATTCATTCATGTTTGGGCCTCCCATATTTAGCATCCCATGTCTGGTATCCGCAAGACCTACGAGCACAGAACTCATCCAGTACCGACAAACAATTGCTTAACGGGAACAGTCAGACCTGTGTGTAGAGTTCAGTCAAGGGAAAACACTAAATGCAGGGTACGAAAATAAGCGAGTCCGGAGTCAAATACTCCCTGATTTACTGTCGGACTCCTTGATTTGACATATGCAGGAGTCCGTGTGACTCCCTGAAAATTCTGCCATACTAACTAGTTTGTTCCGGAGCACGGCCTCATGGAATTACTGTATTTTTTCAGCTAATGTCTAAAGACAATTTGGCAGACGTGCAACTGCATGAATCTTAAAAATAAGCACATGCGTTATTGTTAATATCTTTAATTTTGAACCTCAGACTGCGGACTCCCTTATTTTGCTACGGACTCCTTCTTTTTGAGGGTAGGGAGTCCGTTGGACTCCCTTGTTCAAAAGTTCATTTCTACCCCTGTAAATGTGTCTTTTATAGCTAGGTACTCGTTCTATAGAGATGAATTTACGATTTTCTATGATTTTACTGCATGACTACTAATCGAAGGAAATGCCAATAGTGTTCTTTGTAGATAGGTGTTCATTCTATAGAGGTCGTCTCACTGTATAACTGCCACTCGTGAGAAACGCCAAAAGTCGTCTTCATATGCGGGTGTCCGTCAGTTCAATAGAACCCTAATGCACATTTAACCGCATTTGTATTTTCCTTCCATTTAACACGCTTCTAATCGTCGCGCGTCTCCGCGCTTGCCTGCAGGGTCCGGCCCTACGCAGATATAACCGTATTTTTATTCTCCCTTTGTTTCTCACGCGTTTCTAATCGTCGTGCGTCTCCGCGCTTGCCTGCAGGGTCCGGTGGAGGGACCCGCGGAATGTCGTCGCGTGGCGGAGTACCGGCTGTACGTCGCCGGCTCGCCGCGACGCTCGCTGCCCGCCGACACGCTATCGGTGGAGTGGATGCTGTCCGGCGCGACGGCCGGCAGCGTGGTGACGGCGAGCGTCGCGTACGTGAGCGCGGGCGACGGCGGCGGCGGCGGGGAGGAGAGTCCACGCAGCGAGCGTGCCAGCGTCACGCTGCCCACGTGGTCGCCGCCAGGTGAGCTGTGAGGAGATGCGTGCGTGCGTGGGCATGCGTGGGCGTGTGTGTGTGTGTGCGTGTGTGCGTGGGCGTGCGTGAGTGGGCGTGTGAGTGGGCGTGCGTGCGTGGGCATGTGTGCGTGCGTGTGTGCGTGGGCATGTGTGCGTGCGTGT